GGATTCCCTCACTCAAGTTTTTCACGGAGTTTACATTTTATTTTTCTTAACCATTCAAGATATATAATAATTTAGCTTCGTCCTAAAATGAATGGCACGATACATACTTTTTGAGAGCTTGGTATTATTTAGTATTGGTTGTATAATATGACAAATCACTTTAAGTCCAGGCTACTTTTGCATGGTGCCATGATTAATTTAAAAACTTATTCATGTATATGCAATATAAATCATGCATGTAAGATGCATGCCATCAACCGGGCTTTATTATTTTGTATGTATACACTTATAATAATGCATGAAAATGTTGTACATAATTTATATATATGTGAGCATAAGCAAGTTAGGAGAAGTTAAATGTGTGAAGTACCTATCCTAAAGGGCTTAAAGTGTAGATGATGATCTTATGTTGAAATATAATTTTTATCAACAAAATTGAGACCATAAGTATTACTTTTTGTACAATGACATAAGTCACTTTAAGTCCATGTTACTTTTGTTTAATGCCATGATTAATTTATAAACGTATTCATGTATTCACAATATAAATCATGCATGCATATAATAGGGCTTTATAATTCTGTATGTATATTGTATATTGTTGCGATTACGGTAAATATATCAGTCGTATAAGTAATAAAAAAGTGAGTAGAGTTATTGTTTCTACAAGGATTAAGTATACCAATCACTATTCTCATCATTCCCCTTAATTTAGACAATTCAAAAGATTTAAAAAAGTAATTTTTAATTATGAAAATAAAATGAAAAGTAATTGCAAATAAAAATAACTAGAGGACAAGCATTCAGAGAATTTAAAAACTGGATTTTTGAAGTCAATAACGAAATTGTAGCTAGGATTTTATTTCACCTCCGATCTTTTTTAAGTGAATTAATTCAATTCATTAATATTTTATCTCAATTAATTCAAATAATTCATCATCTAAAATTTAATTGTTTAAATTATAATTTCTTAGTTCTTTAACCCTTTAGCCAATTGGAATCTTAATGTCTTAGAAACCCCTTTCACATTAAACTTTAAGTGCGATGAATTATGAAGTTCAATATCCTACAAGTCTATGTCTAAATCATGCAAGAATTGATGTTTTACCCTTGTTGAGATTAAGATCTCAATATGTCTATTGTGAATCCTAACCCTCTTTAATTTATTCCTATACGAGTGATCAATTCATAAAAGAATTTTAATGTGAAATTCAAGGTAAACACAAACAATTAGAGACAATTTATTAGTGAACGAATTAACCCAAAATAAGGATTCACGTTGAATCCATATCCCTAACTACAGAAGAAAACTTAGTCAGACATAGCTGGCTTAAACAAAATAAAGAAAGAAAAGAAAGTAGATGAAGTCATGAAGATGAAAGAAGAAGATGATCTCCAGTGTTGCTTCAATCTCCTTCAATCTTCATTCTCTCTCTGAACTCTAAATTTCCCAGCAATTTCTCTTAGCTTTCTTCGTGCAATTTTCTTTGAACTGACGCTTGATTCCCTTTTTATATCCTTGGAAAATCAACACCAAATCCCTTAGAGAATATCTTCAGATATAGTTGAAATTAGAATTTAAAAAGGGTCACGTGCTTCTGGCGCGGTTCTGGTGCTGCTAGCGCTAGAAAATAGAAGTTTATTTATACTTTGGTGCTGATAGTGCCATTACCACGCTAATGGAATGGAAAACTCACAGTTCTGACCCCATTAGCGCCACTCACACGCTAGTAGGGCGGGGCAACAGGGACCTTTGATGTAATTGGCACTGGTAACGCCAATTTGGCGATACTAGCGCAGTGAAACATAAGGTGAATTGCATGTTGGTGCTGATGTCGCGGCTGGACTAAAGCTCTCTTTCATTTGCTCTTGAAATTTAATCTATTTTTAGTGTAAATTTTCCTGCAAAACACGAGACTTTTAATGAAAGTAAGCCTGAGAATGGATTAACAATCTTTATCACAATTATATGTCTTTTGAATCAATTGAGATTAAATCCATATTTATTTTGATCTTTAAAACATAGTATGTTGGAAGCATATCATATATACATACAATAATACCTTATAAATGTGAGTATACGCAAGTAGTAGTTAAATGTGTTAAGCACTACTTCTAAAGGGCTTAAAGTGTAGATGTTAATCTAATATTGAAAAAAATAATTATTAAAAAAATTGAGACTATAAGGATTAAATTTTGTATAATGACATAAATCACTTTTTAAGTCCAGGTTACTTTATACGGTGCCATGATTAAATGAAGGATCCCTTTTTTTTCATGTTACAGAAATACCTGCAACCGTCTTTTAATTATGTACTTCCAAAAGTACATATATAATTATAATATAAAAGTTATTTTTTTTTAACCATGTATTCTTGAGAGGAATTCCTGTAACATGAGAAACACAATTCCCTTAAATGAAACTATTCATGTTTTTACGATATAAATCATGCATGCACTTATGCAAGATGCATGCCTACAATATTGGGCTTTATTATTGTGTATGTATATACATACAATACAATAATGCGTATATCTTATAAATGTAGCATAAGCAAGTTAGAAATAGTTAAATGTGTCAAGGATCAATTCTAAAGGGCTCAAAAATAGTTGAAATTTAACTTTTAATTTTATTAAAAAACTGACAGCACGAGGATTAAACTTTTGATAAATTTAAACTACTATGTCGAAATTCGTTTATAGTTTTATATTTAATAAAATTAATAATCAAGAACGTGTAGGTTACTGGAGACTAAAATACCTTAATTTTGTAGGTAGTAACCTTATATTTGGATTAAAAACTTTTAATCAATAATTTTTTTTTTTTTTTAAAAGTTATTCCTAAACGAGATGTTGGTGTGCACATTTGTAGTTCCCACGGCAAGACGTGGCGCTGTGAAACTTTACAAACACACAAGGTCGGGTATATGAAACACTATCGTATTGTTGGAGGTGACATCAATTGCAATTGCACGCATCATCAAGATTCGTTCAGCAACAACCAAACACTGAGTTGGAAAGAAGGCAAGTAAGTAGCTTTAATTTTATTTGATTTTTCCAGAAATCATATAGGACACAGCCAAGCATGCATGCATGCATTATATTGACATTTCCCAGAATCTTTTAGTCGTAATAGATAAGCTAAAAAGTATGCTGCAGCAATAAAACCATATTGTCCATCCTCCTCAAAAGAATTTTTTTTTTTATTTCCCCCTAATTTTTTTAAAACATATATACCCTTTGGTTTGGCTCCATTTAAATTGTTCACAAGACTAATATTTCCAGTTCGACTGTAAGAGTATGAGGATATATAATGGTCAAAACTATTTCAAATCAAAAATTCAAGTTATTAGATGAAAATATGTAAATAACTTTATGTTATATTTCTAGGTAATCTCTGTGTTATTGAATATTAACTACACTAGACTGTTTACCACCTTGCTGTGGCTCATTGTATAGCTTTTTTCCTTTATTTTGATTCATCTAAAAGATTACCTTCATATACCAATATTAATGAATAATTAAATCAACTTATGTGGCAAAAGCTCTGATCCTTGAGGGTAAGATGCTAAATAGAAACAAGGTGGAGTTTAAAGGCTTAATTTCGGACCCGCCTTGAATCGAATTATTCACTAAGCGATGAACTAATTGGAATATCTCAAAAAAAATAAAAAAAAATAAATAGAAACAAGGTGGGGGTAGTGGATAATGCTGGGGACCTCATAGGCATCTAATTACTCTTTCTTGTAGGGCCTTTTCTTCGCATTCATGGCATGGGACGACGACATGTGATATAAAAGATTAAGAAACGACCTCTTTAAGTTAAATTGATTCAGAAAATCAATTCTCAAATGATCTCAATATCTGTGTAGATTAGGTCTAGCGCCACAATTATGTAATTCCAAGAAATAGAAAAATTAAGGATTTTCTCCCCCTTTTTTTGTTTGGTTTGGTTTTGTTTTATCAGTGAATTTATTTCATGTATTCAAAAATGTGATTGATTGTGTGATGATTGGGAAAAGATTAGACGGTTTCCATTCAACAGAGACATACATATACAATAAGGTTATCAGAAACAAGCATTTGAAAAAAAAAATGTTGTAAAAAGATTTGTTAAACATAGTTATTATTATATATAGAGAGACACGACAACCCATATTGTCATATTTTTTTAGAAAATAAAAGTAGAAGTGAATTTTTTTTACTTTTTTTTTGAGTAAACTCAAGAGTATCCTCCAATCGTAATCTAAATTTAATCTCTATCGAGCACTGTCAAATTTTTTCACGGACGGTTCTCCCAAATCCTTTTAATAGAAGTGAACTTACTAACTAGAGTAAATGATTATATATATTGTTGTAATAAATGAATGCAATACCTATGCCAAAACTAGTCATCCTTTTTTTTTTTGGTAGAATTCCTAGTCATCCCTTCACTACACTCATATTTCCCTTTCTAGAATTGGATGCGTATCTTAATAGCCAAAAAAAGAGGTCCCAATAGGATAAATTCAACTTTTCTTCCAATGCAGCAGATGCCTCCAAGATAGATAAGGCAGAAGCCCCTAATAATATAGCACATTAAAAAAAGTTATAATGGTACGAAGACAACTACTAAACATAACTCTCTGAACTTTTTAAATAAAATTTTAAGTTGGGTAGTTATTTCAATATATTATTGGCTCTATGCAAATCCTACTTTACCATACTACTCCTTATTCCCCAATTGGAGGTTGCATATATGCAATCAGGGTACAAGAATAGTAGATGAAAGAAAAGGTAAAAATTATGAGGGGATATGCACAAAAATTTTTTGGAAGCCGTACCAAGGACACGCCTTTGTTTCCATATGCATGCATAGGTATTGATTCTTTAAGAGTAAAAGGAAAACTTTGATCAATCACTTTCAAACAAATGATCAAATAAAATTTAGAAACCGACCCAAATATATCTAATGGAACGTTCTCCTCTTTACTTCTCAGCCACTCTATCATTCTCTTTGCTGAACTTGCTTAGTGATGATGCCAATCCAACAAATCATAATCTACCTTCCTCAAACCCCTATATAAGCAAACCCCATTTGGCTCTAGCTTAAGCACACCTCAAGTACCTCCTTCACATTCCTCACTTATCCACATTGACTTGTCTTTCTCCTTAGCACCCTCTCATTTCTTGCCTTCCCAAACTAGCTTTCCCACTTTCTAATTCATCATTATTCAACCTTTTTGTCATTGTTCTATCCTATATCAAACTTTTAGACTACATTTGTGGACTTAGAAGCAAGATGGACAGGGTGAAAAACATGGCATCAGAGAGGCCAGTGGTGATCTTCAGCAAGAGTTCCTGCTGCATGTGCCACACCATCAAAACCCTCTTATGTGACTTTGGGGTGAATCCAACAGTTCATGAACTTGATGAGATACCAAAAGGGAGAGACATTGAACAAGCACTTTCAAGGCTAGGGTGTAGCCCCTCTGTCCCAGCTGTGTTCATTGGTGGTGAGCTTGTAGGTGGAGCCAATGAAGTTATGAGTCTTCACCTAAACCGTTCCTTGATCCCAATGCTTAGGAGAGCAGGAGCTATTTGGGTTTGAGAAACCACTCCTCACCTTCCTCATCAGGCACTAATAAAATCTGTTTTCATTACATGTGTACTGATGAGATTATATATAGAGGCCGGATATATTATAGTATGTATGTATATTAGTATAGAGTTTATGCTACTAATTTTGTAATAATAAGGCTAATTAACTTGACCGATCAAGGTCTAATTAATTAGCCTCTCTCTTTTTGTATTGAATGTAGCGTTTTATTTTTGCTACTTGTAATAAAGGGTTTATCTAGCCTCATGTTGTATGACAGAAGAAATCTCACCCACTATCTAAAAAATAAAAAAGAAAGAAAAGAAAAATATTGTACGGTTATCAAATGGTGTATAGGAAGAAAACTTACCACATGTGACACGAGAATAGTTTTTTCCTATAATAAATTGGATGGAATTGCAGACTATATAAAGTTTAAGGGAAATCATTTTCTTATGTTGACGGAGATTACTTTCTCATGTTGTGAGGTATCAAAATCCATGCTATCTTTTTCTTTTTTAATAAGTGGTGGGACCTATCACTTGTTGTGTCTATAGCATGAGAGATGTTATCTCATGTGACATGAGAAAAGAGAAACCCAAAGTTTAACTATGTGCAGAGATTGAACTAATGGGCGTTTGGGAGAAGGATTTTTTTTTTTAAGATTCTCGCAGAATTGAGGGTGGTAATTTTATTCATTCATGTTTGGTAGAAGATTTTTAAAATTTTTGTAGAAATCTGATTTTTTCGGGATTTTATTTTGTGTGTAAAATTTTATGAGAATATCATCTAAGAATACCACTCATGGGATAGTATTCTAGGATTCCCATGGCAAGGGAAAATTTAACACAACCAAACATAGCATCAAGAAAATTAATTCAACATTCTCGAGAATATTTTGGTCTATCAAATAACTTTTTGGTAATATTCTAGAGAAACTTATTTTCCTACAATATTCTCAGAAATCGTATTTTTCTGAGTAAAAAAAAAAATTCTTCTCTATCAAATAACTAAGGGGAAAAGAAAAAAAGAAAGGGGAGGGGAAGCTATATATGTTTTCTACAGTAATAATTCGATTCAAATAACAAAAGGAAGGGGAGGGCACAAAAATGAAACAGTAACTTGTTAGCTATGTAAGTTGAGTATACCCATGTTGTGAACAGAAAGCAAATACATACTTCAACCCTGTTTTATCTTTTTCAGGTAAAAGAAAAAAAGCAGCCCTGCTTGGATCATCTAACGAGGTACACTTTTGAAACACATCCAACCAGAGGATTCAAATTTTCTAATTTTCTGATGCAATGTCAAGAGATAACTAGCTATATAAACTTCAGTTGCATTTATGATATGTCGCAGCGATACTGACATGGGATACGAGACATGACATGACACGACACGCTGACACTTTAATGTTAAAAAATGTTGGGACACGTTTTGATATTAAATAATATTTTTAATATATATAATATAATTTATATTTAATACATATAACAGTCCATAATAAGTCATATAATCAATCAAATATTAAAATTTTATAATATAAATATAAAAATAAATAATTTTTCTTACCTTGTTAATTTTTCATGTCAAATTTCATAACAGAAAAAATTGATTTATAAATTAATTTTTCATATTTAGTTAATAAAATAAATTTTAGTTGTAAAAAAAACGTATAGGATGCGTGTCGAAGCATTCACTGCGTGTCAAAAAAAGTTGATTCCGTGTCGAAAAAGTATGTCGAAATTTGTCGAAACATTGACCGTGTGTCCTAAAATATTGATCACGTGTCGGACGTGTGTCGAGACATGTCAGTGTCCGACACACAATTTTTTTTTATTGTTCACACTTGCTAACTTGTTAATTAAAAGAATAGTGCATTGTGATTTCTATAAAATAACAAAACAAAATCGAATCTTACTTAATGAAGTGGCATAATATAAGATAAAAATAATTAGTAAAAATATTATCTTATGCTGTAGGAGAATAATTTTCTCTCCTACACATACATCGACTTCTGTGTTGCTTTTTTTTCTTTTTCTTTTTTTCTTTAAGTGAGTAAATCTCATTCATAACTATCCCTATGACATAAAAGAGCTTCTCTTATGTCACATGAAATTAATAAAGTCCAAATAATTATCCATGTGATAAGGCATTAAGGCTACAAACCATGTCTTGTTCTTTCCGTTAGTTGATGAGGTACAAATGCACAGAATGGAATAAACTTACTGGTATAAGTGAATGCGACGTGTGACGTGTCTGTAACATGGTTCCTCTATCACATCATCAAATAGTTACATACGGAAGTTAGAGAAAACACAAAGAGAGGAAAAATTTTACAATACACCCGTGGATACATCCCACCAATGAAACGATGATGACATATTGATTGAAAATCAACTTTTTAATATTATAATTATGTACTTTTTAAAATATATAATTATAATACTAATGTGGTACCAAAAATGTTACGCGACTGTCCCACCAAAAATGCTCTCAAAAGAGAGAACGAGAGATAAGAAAAACTGGCTGTATTCTGGAGAAAAATGTAATATGGGTATGGAGTCTACGGACATAATGGAATTGAACCACCTCCCTACACTATCTGTTTCCTCGAGTTATGAAAGAATACTATCTGTTTCCCGGAGCTATGTTATGAAAGAAAACAATATATACATGATTAACTGGATTACATATTCTTCTATATTCTTTCATAAAAAACAGTCACTAGCTAATCATTATTAGAACACTAATTCATACACATGATTATGATAAATAAACTGATATTTGCATTTTTATCAGGAAAAAAAATCGCATGTACATTTTTATGCAAGATGCAATAGGAAAAAAATTATAAATGAATTAGCATTTATCATTACCTAAACCTTTGTTCACCTTATTGAATATTGCTTCACCGTATTATTTGTAAGGATTTAACTTATAATCACTTGCAGATATTCGATAATACGTAAAGAACTAATTCAGTTCAAAAACCTTAGTTATTAGATGAATATTATATTATATATTTTTTAACACGCTTCTTTATATGAGAGCATATTGATTTTAAAGATAGACAATAAATTAGGCTCTATCTATTCATACTAAGAAATTCTATAATATTTAGTTATTAATATTTTAATAAAATGGCAATAAGTTGTCACCACCTTATCAATGATACTTTGATATCATGTAAAACAACTATTTCAACCCAATAACTTAAATTGATAGGTGAAGACCACATTAACGAATATTTCTCTAACAACTTAACTTTGACTCAAAGTAAGTAGTACTCATTGTATTCAGAAAACCAAGTTTCTCTATATGGAAATCATTTGTTGAAACAAGCAAGATCCATATTTCATTTTACATGTCAAATTTTTTTATTTTCTGATATAATTATGGGCTACATATTTAATTAACAATTATATGATATTATTTAATTTGTTGGGAAAATTAAATCATCAATTTAAAAGAATCTAATTATATTTCTAGTTGTATATGGGCTAAATGAATCAATATCTAATTTTGACCCAACTTATTTTTAAGAAGCACTGACATGCAATTTTTTTGAAAAATGCGTGTTGGACACTAATACATTCCGATACGTGGTCAACATTTTTCAATGCGCGGTCAACGTTTTTTATTTTTTTAGATCCAAATTTTGTTTTATTTTATCTTTTTAACTAAACATGAAAAATTAATTTATAAATCAAATATTTTCTGTTATGAAATTTGACATGAAAAATTAATAAAACATGAATTATTTATATATTTATGTTATGAAATTTGAATCTTTGATTGATTATATGACTTATTATGGATGTTATATATATAAATGTAAACTATTATATATATATTAAAAATATTATTTAATATCAGAATATATCCTAACGTATCAAAATCTAATATTTTTAAAATTAACGTGTCGACGTGTCGTGTCGACATCTCTCGTGTCGATGTCGGTATAATATATCTTATTATATCAAAAACCTAATAAGACAATAATAATGAAAACCTAATATATATATATATATATATATATATATATATATATATATATATATATATATATCCCCGGTCACTGTTTATTTGTTTTTATACATTTAACAATTCAATTTAAAGATAAGGAATTAAATATTTTTTCTTTCAAACTCCTCATTCAAAAGACTCTTAAAATTATATACTTTACATGTAATTTTTTACCTTGCGTTATGAAACAAAGGGAGAGAGATGAGGAAACATATGTTACAAGACAACATGAGAAAAACGAAGATAAATTAAAAGGAAGTAGTATAGAATTGTTTTTTTTTTTTTTGAAATATTCCAATGGGTTCATTGTTTCGCAACTAATCTGATTCGGGACAGGTTCATGATTAAGGCTTTAAACCCCTCCCAAAAGTGGTACTGGGAAGATTCGAACATATGCTCTCACTCACCCTCATCTGCTTAGCTCCCATGCGCCAACTGAGCTACCACCATTTGATAGTAATATATAATCTGGTTCTCATTCACGAATCATTTTTCCACTACAAGCATCGTTCATATATAGGTTTACAATTATGAATGAAGAAGTTAATGCTCAATTACTGTGATAATTACAAAAGTATAAATAGGGAATAATTACATTATTAATGCTAACGGTTACAAAATCTAAATTCAAGTTATTCATAAATTAATATTTTACAGCACATTATTATTATTATTATTATTATTGAAAAGATAGCTCCCATTGTATTAAATATTTTCGATAATACGGATGTACTGACCACTTGGTACATTCTTTACCAAATACAAATAAAAATAACATATTTTCATTATCCTTACTTTTATGATTATTTTCGTCCATATTTTGTTTTCTTCTATTTTTGATAAGAAAGTACCTACTCCTATTGCACCAAAAATCTACTCTTAAATCGCACCAATAAGAGCCTTAACATGATATCTTCCACGATGCCAAAGGAAAATCGTGACCACAATTCCCCATTAGGTTTGAACCTTGTTCCTTCTACTGGTTAGAAGCAAGATGCAAGGAGACACAAAACTACTGAAAACAAGGTTCTAGGGAATGTGTATTATATTGAAGAAGGGAAAAATGTTTCTGCAGTTAATGCAGATAAGTTATCTGTATTTATTCTAAAAATGACGTCATTTTGGTATTGAAATCTTAAAAAATTATAAATATAAAGACTATTATACCCCTGAAATAAATTAAAATTATAAAAATACCATAATTTTCGCCCCAAAACGACATCGTATTAGACTTACTGCAGATAACTTATCTTTTTAATGCTAACGGTCACAAAATCTAAATTCAAGTTATTCATAAATTAATATTTTACAGCACATTATTATTATTATTATTATTGAAAAGATAGCTC